CCTAGTCACAGCAATCAGACAAGAAAAAGAAATAAAACGTATCCAAGTTGGAAGGGAAGAGGTAAAATTGTCATTATATGCAAATGACATGAAACTCTATATAGAAAACCCTAAAGACTCCACACAAAAACTTTTAGAACTAATTAAATGAATTCAGCAAGGTAGCAGGATACAAGATCAACATATAGAAATCTGTTGCATTTCTTTATACTAACAATGAAATATCAGAAAGAGAATATTTTCAAAAATCCCATTTAAAATTATTTCAAAAACAAAACAAAACAAAACCAACCTAGGAATAAACCTAACCAAGGAGGTGAAAGATTGAGGACTATGAAACATTGATAAAGGAAACTGAAGGTGATTCAAAGAAATGAAAAGATATCCCATGCTCTTAATTGGAAGAATAAATATTGTTAAAATGGCCATATTACCCAAAGCAATTTACAGACTTAATGCGATCCCTATCAAATTACCCATGACATTTTTCACAGAACTAGAACAAATAACCTTAAAATTTACATGTCACCACAAAAGACCCAGAATTGCCAAAGCAATCCTGAGAAAAAAGAATAAAGCTGAAGGCATAACCCTCCCAGACTTCAGACAATAGTACAAAGCTACAGTAATCAAAATAGTGTGGTACTGGCACCAAAGACAGACATATGTATCAATGGAACAGAATAGAGAATCTAGAAATAAATGCACACAACTACAGTCGATTAATCTTTAACAAAAGAGGCAGGAATATACAATTGGGAAAAGACAGTCTCTTCAGCAAGTGGTAATGGGAAAGCTGGACAGCTGCATGTAAATCAATGAATTTAGAACACTCCCTTACACCATACACAAAAATAAACTCAAAATGGCTTAAAGACTTAAATATAAGACATGACCCCATAAAACTCCTAAAAGAGAACACAGGCAAAACATTCTCTGACATAAATCGTAGCAATGTTTTCTTAGGTCAGTCTCCCAAGGCAAAAGAAATGAAAGCAAAAACATACAAATGGGACCTAATCAAACGTATAAGCTTTTGCACAGCAAAGGAAGCCATAAAGAAAATGAAAAGACAACCCATGGACCGGGAGAAAATATTTGCAAATGATGCGACCAACAAGGGCTTAATTTTTAAAATATACACACATCTCATACAACTCAATATCAAAAAAACAAAACACCCAATCAAAAAACGGTCAGAAAACCTAAACAGACTTTTCTCCAAAGAAGACATACAGATGGCCAATAGACACATGAAAAGATGCTCCACATCGCAAACTATTAGAGAAATGCAAATCAAACCCACAAAGAGGTATCACCTCACACCAGTCAAAATGGCTATCATCAAAAAACCTACAAATAATAAATGCTGAAGAGGGTGTGGATAAACGGGAACCCTTGTACACTGTTGGTGGGAATGCAAATTGGTGCAGTCACTATGGAAAATAGTATGGAGGTTCCTTAAAAAACTAAAAACAATGTTACCATAGGATCCAGCAATCCCACTCCTGGGCATATACCCAGAAAAGATGAAAACTCTAATTTGAAAAGATACATGCACCCCAGTGTTTATAGCAGCACTATTTACAATAGCCAAGACATGGATGCAAACTAAGTGTCCATCGACAGATGAATGGATAAAGAAGATGTGGCGTATATATACAATGGAATATTACTCAGCCATAAAAAAGAATGAAATATTGCCATTTGCAGCAACAAGGATGGAACTAGAGATTATCAGACTAAGTGAAGTAATTCAGACCAAGAAAGACAAATATTATATGATATCATTTATATGTGGAATCTAAAAAATAATACAAATGAACTTATTTAGAAAACAGAAACAGGCTCATAGACATAGAAAGCAAACTGATGGTTACCAAAGGGGAGAGGGAGGGGAGGGATCAGTTAGGAGTATGGGACTAACAGATACACACCACTATATATAAAACAGATAACAAGGATTTACCGTATAGCACAGGGAACTATGTTTTATAAATATGTGTGTGTGAGAATCACTTTGCTGTACACCTGAAACTAACACAATATTGTTAACCCACTATAGTTCAATTAAAAAAAGAAGAGTATGTTATTGAGTCGGCCGACTATCATTGCGGGTGACTGGGATTTAATCCCACCAGAAAGCTCTGTGAAGCATCAGAGAACATGTACCACAGAGTTATCTATGTGATGGGCAAGGGAGCAAGGGTATTCAACTCCCATCAGTTACTGGTTGTGGGCTGCTGCTTCCCTCACTTTGGAGAAATCCCTTGAGCAAAAAGATAGCAATACAGGCAGTTGGAAGTCAGCCTTGAGTGGTAAATCCTGATGGATAGAGGCAGGGCAGGAACAGGGTCTGCTACAGGAGGGAAAAGGACATGTGGACAAGTCCAGCTTCTCTCCACGCCCCCACCTGACTAATCATCTCTCCCCAGAGAAGGAGTGGCACATCCGTTTGGTGAATTTGGAAGAAGAAGATGAACATGCTTGGCTCAGGGTTTCTTGAGTTATTTCTCTTTCAGATTTGCTTGCCCACATAGAGGGTCCATAGAGTAGGTCTGCTCTCCACTACTAGAGGAGCTGCTTATGGGGTGAGCGTTGCCCCAGAAAGAGTGGAGCCCAGAGTTCAAATCAGTGGGAATGTATTGGGAAGTCCACTTGCCCCTGGATTTAAGGCCACATTCTTCAATCATCTCTTCAGTAACAAAGTTGATATTTCCATCTCCATCGGTTGGACTCCTAAATTTATTTCTCACTTGGTTCTGAACTTGGGTGGAAAGAGGGTGGCAATTGATCAGGCTCTTAAACACGACAGATAATTATTATTTCTATGCACTAACTTACTTCCTTAGGTTCTTAACACAACCTAACAAATTACTGTGAAAGACTGAAACAATGCCCAATTTGTGGAACGGGTGTCTTGCGGCTATAGTTATTCAGTACATTTATTTCCTTATATGAAACAAGACTAAGTACAGAATATAGAATGTTGTATCAAAAATCTGTTTTTCTAATTAGTACACAAAACTGTTTTGCTGGAAACATGACAGAAAAGTTCTATGTGCTGGAAAATGCTCATGATGGATTAATATTCTTCTTTTCATCACTTGGGCAACAATCGCCTTTTGTGAGCCAAAGAGACATATCATATTCTAAAACAGAAATAACAGATGTGCATGTCCACCATCAAGAGAGACTTGCACAGGGAGTGCCATTTACCCCGGGGAAAGCAGAAGGAATCACAGATGAGAGAACAGTAATGCCTTTTATGGTTTCTTTTTAGAAACTTGATTTTTATACGCCTTTGCTTTTCACTGCATGCATGGTTACAACGAGATTCTCTGCTACTTGTGTTGCTTCTATTTGGTAACTACTTCCATTTCTACTGTACTTAAAAAAAAAACAGCTTGAATCATCTCACGAAATGGTTCTAACAGAAAACAGAAAGTAACTATGTGTAGGGAAATAGAAAAGTCAGACAAAGTAAGTTACTATAAACGTGATTAAGGGGAGCAGAGGATGTGCGCTGATGATGGGAGGAAGTTACCATGGCTGCTCTCCATCTTGAACAGCCCAGATCCTGACTGTCCTGACATAGGGCTTTCTCACAGTATGGCTGAAGGGTGCATGTATCAGAAACGATTAGGTGTAGCTGTAGGTAGCAAAGACCCTAAATCAGAAGAGGTCAAGGAGATAGAAATTTACTTCTGTCACGTAAAAGTCAAGACAGGGTGGTCCAGAGCTGATCCAGACTCCTTTCATCTCACTGCTCCCCAACCCCCAGGGTGTTGTGACCTTCCACCTACGGTCTAACATGAAGGTCAGGACACCAGCCACCACACTGGACTCTGGGCAGTAGGAGAGTGAAGGGATGAAGAAGGAAGCTGCACAATGGCATGTGCCAGCTGTATTTTAAAGGAGGTATCTGGCAGCAACCATGGGACCTCATTAGCCAGGACACAGTCACATGGCCACACCCAATCGCAAGGTATGCTGGGAAATGTAGTCTTTCCATGCATCCAGCTAAAAATCAGGGTTTCTATTACTATGGAAGAAAGAAGGTTGCAGGGGCTTCCCTGGTGGCGCAGTGGTTGAGAGTCCGCCTGCCGATGCAGGGGACACGGGTTCGTGCCCCGGTACCGGGAAGATCCCACCCACCGCGGAGTGGCTGAGGCCCGTGAGCCATGGCCGATGAGCCTGCGCATCTGGAGCCTGTGCTCCGCAACGGGAGAGGCCACAACAGTGAGAGGCCCACGTACCGCAAAAATAAATAAATAAAATTAAAAAAAAAAAGAAAAGGTTGCATATTGTGGTACAACTGGCAGTCTCTGCCACAGTGAGACAGAAATTGATCAGTGGGTTGTGTCCTCCATGTGTTGTTCCCAAATGCTGGTCCTTAGAACCAGTGCCAACCCACAGCGAAGTGTTCACTGGGCTCTGCTGAAATGTAAGCAAGTTTGTGCAATGTGGTGATTTTTTAATAGTCTTTTTAAAAAGCGACTGTCCATGGGAACTTCTGTGGAGCTCCCTGAGACACCGTCCCCTTCTGCCACCCTCAGACACATGGGGAACAGCCGGTGGTGCCTATGACTGGCTGCCCGAGACCCCTCTGCCAGAGACCATGGGGCCATATTTTTCTGGGGTCTTGTTCCCGCCTCCTCTAGGAATCCTGTGTGGGATTGGTATTAGTTAGAAGGCTTTTGGCGGCATGTCGAGAGGCAGAAAGTATGGACTGAATCATCTCACATGACAAGAAGGTTGGAAGTAGACAGGCTAATTCTCTGCCATTCTCTTGGCTTCCCTCTCTTCGTCCTAAAATACTTGCTGCGGCGCTAAGTATCACATTCTCCCGTGACTGCATCCAAAGCAGGAAGCAGTGGTCCTCTGCTTTCTCTCGAGGAGGAAAAACCTTTCTGGAACCCTGCTCCTTAACAACTCACTGGGCAGAACTGGGACACAGGGCACCCCCAAAACCGCCGACTGGCAAAGAGCAGGATTACCTTGGCTGGTTTAGAACAAGCGTGATTCATTCCCTGGGGCTCAGCACCTTGTTACAGCATCAACCAATGGTGTCTGCCACAGCTTCTGTCTGTCCTCTGTCTGCTCCAGGCTCTTCTGAGGGAGGGGGTGTAAAACCCAAAATGTATCTCTGCACGTATAACTGCCCCTCAGCCAATTCCCTCCCTCCTGGGAATTATCTAGTGGGGCAGAGTGGCTGAGAGAGGGTGACAAAGCACTGCTTTAATTTATCTCATATTCTCCACCATCAATGGTATTTGCACACACGAGTTCCATTTATCCCTTCTGAGTGTGAGGCTTTTGGAACTCAAAAACCCATAGATGACTCAGCTTCTCTATTTCAGGTCCTCATCCCTTCCCTGAGTTAATGAATGACTGGGTAGGGTAGGGTGACAGGGGAGAATATTTTTTCGTCATACTCATCTGTGTCCCCAGGATAGCCTGCAGCTCCTTGAGGGCAGAAGCTTGGTTTTGTACCCCTAGCATGTGACTGTCAGTGAAAACTCAAGCAATACAGACCTCTCAGGGGCAGGAAAGGGAGCTGTCAAATAAGTCAACAGATTTGAATACTAACCTGTGCATTCACAAGTCAAGTGAGATGACATTTTAGGTCCCCCAAACTTTCTGATTTTCCTGAAAGGGAATATCTAGATCAGAGAGATGAGGTGTACCAGCTTAAGCCAAGATAACTAGAATATGATCTGAGTCACTACAGGAGTAATAAGTCATGCCTGTTTCACACATGAAGGGCATGGAAAGAAAGTGTTAGAGTTGAAAAGTGTTCAAGATGGGAGGGACCATCTCCAGTGCTATGACGCCCTACAGAAAGGTGGTAGAACTGGGTTACAGAATCCCTTGAATTTGTGCCAACTGTTACACTCCGAGTTAAGAGCAGCTTGAGAGGTAAAGCTTATTTACTAAGAACAAAGCTCGTAACACAGAGGATAGGGAAGCTATTGACTATATTCGGTAGAAACTTAGCAAAATGTTGAGATGTTCAAAGACTGGAGTTATAGAGATTTAGTGCAAAATTTCCTTCTCACTGTAGATAAGACCTTCTTTATATATATTTTTAGCATTTTTATAACAGCTTTATAGAGATATAACTCACATACCATATGACTCAGCGATCTAAAATGTACCATTTAATGGCTTTTAGTATATTCAGAGCTGTGCAACCATCGCCACGATCAATTTTTGAACATTTTCATCACCCCCCTCCAAAGAAACCCCACACTCATTACCATTCCCTTTCCCCCTCAATCTCCTTAGCTCCTGGCAGACGCCAATCTACTTTCTGTCTGTATGGGATCTGCCTATTCTGGACATTGCATATGGATGGATTACATAATAGTCAGATACTGTAAGTGGCCATGAATTTCATCATCCTCATAAGTAGTATTGCTACAGTTACACAGACTAGAGAGAGCCACATTTGTCACTAAATGGGCACAATCACATAATCAGGCCATTGTCAAGGCATATATGAAAAAAGTTGAGACAACCATTAATTCCTTTAGTAGAATATCTGAGCTATTTGAAAATTAATAGTAGTATGATAAGATCATATATATTTTTTAAATTTTATTAAAAAAATTTTTTTTGGCCGTGCCACATATCTTGTGGGATCTTAGTTCCCCGACCAGGGATCGAACCCAGGCACGTGGCAGTGGAAGCACAGGCTCCTAACCACTGGACCGCCAGGGAAGTCCCAAGATCATATTTTTTACTTGTAGTATTATTAGTGTTGCTTTTTCTTTCTTTTTTTTTTTTTGTGGTACGCGGGCCTCACTGTTGTGGCCTCTCCCGTTGTGGAGCACAGGCTCCGGACGCACAGGCTCAGCGGCCATGGCTCACGGGCCCAGCCGCTCCGTGGTATGTGGGATCTTCCTGGACCGGGGCACGAACCCGTGTCCCCTGCATCGGCAGGCGGACTCTCAACCACTGCGCCACCAGGGAAGCCCTTAGTGTTGCTTTTTAAAAATTGTTGTTCTTGGTATTTCCTCCTGCCAATTTGTACACGCAAGCCCTGCCATTCTGCCTGTTCTCATTACCAAGGGAAGGCTTGAAATGCAGAAAGAAGAACGATGAAGAACCTCTTCATTGCCCTGTTTGGTGGCACTGCTGAGGTCCGGCGTGCACTGGCATGGGCCTGCATCCACCGGGAGGGAGGGGCGCTTTGGTCTTATGCGCATAAAGCTGCCATATGGGCTGGCAGCAGCCCTTCCCTTAGCTGAGAATGGAAAGGGTTTAGGTTTAGGCAGTAGACAGGAGAATGCTTGGGTCAGAATCAGGCTTCACCAAAAGACCCCACACATAGATGTCAGAGGGCCTCACAGAGGTGAGATCATACCTTTTCCCCCTTTAAAAACATCTGTTTGCTTCTCGGTGCATATGGTACAGATCTATACTCATTTCCCCCAATGATGACTGCCAACCAGTACTGTCCAATAGAACCTCGTGTGATGCTGGAAGTGTTCCACTCTGTGCTGTCCACGTTGCAGTGGAGCACCTGAAATGTGGCCCATGTGACTGAGGAGCTGCATTTTCAATTTTAAGCAATTTAAAGTTACATGCCACACTTGGCTCCTGGCCGCTGGACTGGACAGTGCCGACACTGAACACTTCCATCATCGAAGACAGTTCTATTAGACGGCATTGTTCCTTCAGAAAGCAGCCCTCACACAGGGTTTGGCATGGATTTGGAAGGATAAGGGAGTGGGAAGGTGAGACAGGAAAGGAAGGCATGTCCGCACTCTGGGAGCCAGTGTAGAGCACACACCGATTATCTCAGAATCACCCCGCCAGAGAGGTAAAGGAGTCAGTGTGTTTCTCCACCAAATCCCATCAGTCATTGACTGAGCATTGATTGAGGGGTGTTCATTCCTGGGCACTTCCACCTGCTCAGGGCGTGGACTCAGAAGGCTCTGTAGCCAGAGGGAGCCTTCCGGTCGGGTCATGCAGGGCAGTGGTTAGGGTTGCCAAGGCCTGAGTGCTTGGGGCATGGACACTGCCTGCCTCTGCCACTCCTGACCCGAGTGTGCTCTCCAGATACTACTGTAATATTTCACGCATATCCTTAAGGACACTTCTGCATCTATAAATAGAAGTACATATATGTAAAAACATGTTTTGTTTTTTTTTTCATTTATACAGATGGGACCATTCCATACATACTCTTCTGCACTTTGCTTTTTGCACTTAATAGTACAGTGTATCCTGGAGATATTTCCTTGTAGTCATTTCCTTAATTTCCTCCGCTTGGCTGTCTTCATCACGAAAAAGTTCGGACTTAAAGAGAAAAAGAGCTGCAATGGCTTGGCTGAAAGAATGCAAAGAGATTTGTGTTTAGCTTATGGATTTAGAAGGCAAGCTGTTTGTTGAGACTGCAGAGCTTCGTTCAAGGCATTTCAGGATGGCGTGATTTTCCCGTTAAAAACAAATGGGAATTTGCTTGGTGATAAACTCAGGCAGTGTGGGGGCTGATGAGGCAGTGGAGGATGCAATCAATGGATTAACCTCCTGGGATGACTGCAGCAGCAGCAGCAGCAGTCTCCGGGGTCGGGCATCTGCAGCCTGCCCTGCACAGAGGCATCGGGAGTCCCGGGTTCAGGCTTGAGCTCTGCCACTGACTTGCTGGGTCACTGTTGAAGCCTCTGGACCTCTCAGAGCCTCTGTTTTCATGTCTATTACGTGAACATGGTCACGCCTATCCTAGTCTCTCTCAACGGGTTTGATGCATGGACCGCCAGGGGTTGCAAACCCAAATGCCTTCAGGGGCTACGTAGGCAAGTACTTGAGTCAAGCGAGGATGCTGTAAGTAATATAGTTAAGAAGGAAATAAATCACACTCACATCCCATCTCCCAGATCTAAATCTTTAAACTAATATCATACTAACCTGGCCAAACAAAGCGTATCTGTGGGCTACTTACAGCCCTTCAGCAAGAGTGTGCATCCTATAAATTTGAGTTATGATTTCCAGGTAGAGGAGATGGCACTGCTCTGACCGTTTACTAAGCCGCATCCTATTGAGCCTTTCGGAAGCTGCATCTCCCTCTTCAGCCGTCCCTTTCTGCACCAGTCAGGAGAAGTTAGGTTGGGCTGTGCGAGTCACTCTAAAAGGTCATGGCTTTAAACAGCAAAGGTTTATTTCCTGCTCACTCTCCATGGCCCTTGTGGGACTGCACTACCATGTGGGCGGCTGCAGGCTGAACTCCACAGCCTCACGCACGCAGACTGACGGGGCTCACCGTCCAGGGCCTCACGTCATCCAAGCACTAGCATTGCTGGGGCCAAGGAAAAAGGAATCATTGTGCACAGGCTCTGAAAAGCTTCTGCTTGCATTTCATTGGCCAAAGCAATCACGTGGCTTGGCTACCCTCCAGTCTTACGCTGCGTGGAAGGAGGACTGGAAATAGCTGTGCACGGCACTGATGAGGCACACACCCCTTCAGATGTCCAACCAACTGCGTGCATCCCTTTCTTCCATTTCTACAGTTCGATGGGTATGGACATCCCCCATTTGGCTAAGCTCTTTTTCTCACAGTTTTGTAAGCGTGAAGACTGACATTCACTGAGCCTCCAGGCTGCTGCTCCTTCCTTGTTGTCACGGCACTCAATACCTGAGCTCACGATAGCCAGAGCAGTGCCATAGTGGTGGAACTGTCCCTTTTCCAGCTTCTGCTAGAACCAGAGGTCCTTAGAGGTATCCATTCTCTGGCAGGTTTTCAAAAGACTTAGCTTTTTTTTTTTCCGAGCAGTTTTAGGTTTACAGTAAAATTGAGAGGAAGGTACAGATCTCCTTACAGCCCGTGCCTCCACATATGCACAGCCTCCCCATTAACAACATCTCTCACTAGAGTGGTACCTTTGTTACCAAGGATAAACCTACACTGACACATACTGTCATCCAAAGTCCACAGCTTTCCTTAGGGTTCAGTCTTGGTGTTGGACATTCTATGGGTTTGGACAAATGTATGATGACATCTATCCATCACTGTAATATCACAGAGTATTTTCACTGCACTAAAATTTCTCTGTGCTGTATCTAGTCATTGCCCCCACCACTCCCACCAGCAAACACTGATCTTTTAACTGTGTCCAAAATTTTGCCTTTTCCAGAATGTCACATAGTTGGAATCGCACAGTACATGCCTTTTCGGATTGGCTTCTTTCACTTAGTAATGTGCATTTAAGGTTCCCCCATGTCTTTTCCTGGACCACTGGATCGTTTCTTTTTAGTGCTGAATAATACTGTGTTGTCTGGATGTACCACAGTTTATCCATTCACCTACTGAAGGACATGGTGGCTGCTTCCAACTTTGGGCAATTATGAATCAAGCTGCTACAAACATCCATGGGCAGGTTTTTGTGTGGACATAACTTTTCAACTCCTTTGGGTAAATACCAATATATTGCTGGACTGACTGTATGGTAAGAGTACATTTAGTCTTGTAAGAAACCACCAAACTGTGTTTCAAAGTAGCTGTACGATTTTGCGTTCCCAACAGCAATGAATGAGAGTTCCTTTCGCTCTGCGTCCTTATCAGCAGGTGGTGTTGTGAGTGGCCTAGGCTGTGGCCATTCTCTAACAGATGTGAAGTGGTATCTCATTACTGTTTTAATCTGCATTTTTCTGATGTGTATATTTATGTGATGACATATGATGTAGAACATCTTTTCATATGCTTATTTGCCATCTGTGTATCTTCTCTGTTGAGGATTTTTGCATCTACATTCATGAGAGATAATGCTCTGTAGTTCTTTTCTCTTGTAGTGTCTTTGTCTGGTTTGGGCCTTAAGATAATGCTGGCCTCACAGGATGAGTTAGGGAGTATGGCCTGTGCTTCTATCCTCTGAAAGAGATGGTAAAGACTTGGTAAAATTTCTTCCTTAAATGTTTGATAGTGTTCATCAGTGAACCCATCTGGGCCTGGTCCTTTCTGTTTTGGAAGGTTATTAATTATTGATTCAATTTTTAAATAGATAGGCCTATTCAGATCACCTGTTTCTTCTTCTAAGCGTTTTGGAAGATTGTGTCTTTCAGGGAATTGGTCCATTTTATCTAGGTTGTCATATTTGTGGGCAGAGAGCTGTTCATAGTATTCCTTTATTATCCTTTTAATTTCCATAGGATTTGGAGTGATGCGCCTTCTTTCATTACTGGTATTAGTAATTTGTGCCTCTCTTTCTTAGAGTTCTTTGTTCCAATTTTTATCTTCTACCTATTTTCTGACCTTTGTGACTTTAATGAAGCATTTTCTAGGATTCCAATTTCTCTACTTTCTCCTATCAGCTATACCACTTTTTTTTTGTTTTTTACTTTTTTCAGTGTTTGCCCTAGAGTTTACAATATTTTACAACTACTCCAAATCCATTTTAAAATAACACTATACCACTTTACAGGTAGTGTGAATACCTTGTAATAACAAAATAATCCTAATTCCTCCCTCTCATCCCTAGTATCATTGCTGTCATTCATTTCACTCATATGTGAGCATACATAAGCATACACACACACACACACGATATATATATACACACACAGACATATGTAATTGAATACATCGTTGCTCTTATTTTGAACTGTTATCTCTTAGATCAATTAAGAATAAGAAAAATAAAAAGTAAAAGTAAAAAATAAAAGTAAAAGGTAAAATAATCTTACACCATACACAAAAATCAACTGAAAATGTATTAAAGACTTGGATGTAAGACCTGAAACTACAAACCTTGTAGAAGATAACATAGGGGGGGTAAGCTTCCTGACATAGGTGTTGGCAATAATTTGTTGGACTTGACACCAAAAGGCAACAAAAGTAAAAATCAACAAGTGGGACTACATCAAACTCTAAAGCTTCTGTATAGCAAAGGAAGCTATCAACAAAATGAAAAAGCAACCTACTGAATAGGAGAAAATATTTGCAAATCACATACCTGAAAAGGGATTAATATCCAAAATATATAAAGAACTCATACAACTCAGAAAACAAACAATCTGACTTAAAAATGGGCAGAGAATCTGAATAGACATTTTTCCAAAGAAGACATACAAATGGCCAACAGGCACATGAAAAGCTGCTCCATGTCACTAATCATCAGGGAAATGCAAATCAAAACCACAATGAGATATCACCTCACATCTTTTAGAATGGCTACTATCAAAAAGACAAGAAATAACAACTGTTGGCAAGGATGCAGAGAAAAGGAACTTTGTGCACTACTGGTGGGAATGTAAATTGGTGCAGCCACTATGGAGAACAGTATGGTGGTTCCCCCCTCAAATTAAAGACAGAACTACCATATAATCTAAGGGTCCCACTTTTGGGGATATATCCAAAGGAAATGAAATCATTATCTTGAAGAGACATCTGCACACTAATGTTCATTGCAGCATCATTCATGATACCTATAACATGGAAACAACCTACGTGATGACAGATGAATGGATAAGAAAATGTATAAATATACAATGGAATATTATTCAGCCATGAAAAGGAAATCCTGCCATTTTCAACAACATAGATGGACCTAGAGGGCATTATGCTAAGTGAAATAAGTCAGACAAAGACAAATACCGTACGATCTCACTTATACGGGGAATCTAAAAAACCCATGAACTAACAGATACGGAGAAATGATTGGTGTTTGCCAGAGGCAGGGAATGGGGGTTGGGAAAAATGGGTGAAGGGGGTCAAAAGGGACAAACTTCCAGTTATAAGATACATAAGCCCTGGGGATGTAATGTACAGCATGGTGACTGTAGTTAACCATTTACTAATTGTAATATTAATAATATTAATAATATATGTATATTTGAAATATGCTAAGAGAACAAATCTTAAGTTTTCATCATAAGGAAAAAGAATGTAACTAGGTGAGGTGATGGATGTTAACTACTTACTGTGGTCATCATTTTGCAATGTTTACATACATCAAATTATTATGTTGTACGCCAAAAATGAATACCATGTTATATATCAACTACATCGCAATTAAAAATTTTTAGAAATTTTAAGTAAAATAAAAAGTAAAAAGGAAATTCTAAGTAAGATCCATGTTGGAATTCAACTTGCAAAAGAGGTAGCTGGATAGCTTAACAAGACATGCTGTTAAATGATGATGCTTTATAATCAGCTCAAGTTGTCAAATGATCACATTTCAGAATTGTTTTTTAGCCCATGATTAGGCCTCATCCTCTTTGACCTACATGTCTTACAAGTCACTTGTTTGCACACCAACTGTATCGCTAATCACCAACCATTTTGGGGGGACGTGCTGCAGCATTTCCCAAAGAAACTTCCCTGTAACTTTGCAAAATAAATGTACTCAGACATTCCGAATTTTTACTTGGGGCAGAACAGCTTTCTAAGTCCCCCTTGGACTTAAATATATAGATATCTTAAAGCAAGAGTGGGAATGGGAAGCATAATCTAATTTTCTTTCCTACAGAGATTCTATTTTATTTAAAATTTATTTTGGTATTAGTTAGAATCCTGCTTTTTGGCCAAGTATTTTCAGGTCTGATTTTGTAGAAGCTGGGGTGGATCAGAGCCTACTGAATAAGAGAATTAGAAGCAGTTTATAAAGCTTGCTCACTCCTCATTTCTCCCTGATCACCTCCATCAAGCTGTCCTACCCCCAGCTGGGAGAACAGAGATTTTCAGTACAGGTGGGATAAATGCTCTGACAGGTTCTAGCCAGAGGAATGAGCAAATGGGCAAATGTTTCCAAACTACTTGAAGGCTTAAAAAATGATCCATGAACATTAAAAAAAAAAGTTCCAGAAAAATAAAATCTTATCAAGATATGTAAAAAAAATATAAAAAAAAACTGGCCGAAGAGTCATGTTTGAATTTGACAAAATTACATAAGATAGAGGCTGTTAGTGTCTTCTTCAGGATGGAAATGAACCACTTAACATAGCCATACCACCTTAAACGACGAAACTGCATCAAAATAACCCAACTATGAAATGAAAAAAAAAAAAAAAATAAACGTTTTGTCTTACCTTCATTTATCCCTTCTTTGATGCTCTTCCTTTCTTCATGTAGATCTGAGTTTCTGACCTGTATTATTTTCCTTCTCTCTTAAAAGACTTCTCACATTTCTTGCAAGGCAGGTACCTTGGCAAATTTGTTCAGTTTTTGTTTGAGAAATTCTTTATTTCTCTGGGTACAGAAATCGAAGTTGGTGAGTTTTTTTCTCTCAATCCTTTAAATATTTCACATCACTCTCTTCTTGCTTGCATGGTTTCTGCAAAGAATTTGGACATGATTCTTATCTGTTTCTCTATAGGAAAGCTGCTTTTTTGTCTAGCTTCTTTCAGGATTTTTTCTTTAGTTTTGATTTTCTGTAATTTTAAGATGATACGCCAAGTTGTAGTTTTTGGGGGGCTATTTATCTTGCTTGGTGTTCTCTGAGCTGCCTGGATCTGTGACTTGATGTCTGATATCGACTTGCAGAAATTCTCAGTCATCATCATTTCAAACATTTCTTCTGTTCCTTTTCCTCCTCCTCCTGGTATTCCCAATTACGTGTGTATTACACCTTTTTTAGTCTTCCCACAGTCCTTGTATATTATGTTGTCGCTTTTTTCAGTCTTCTCTTTGCTTTTTGGTGTTTGAGGATTCTATTGATCAGAGCTGTTTTTCCTCAGCTGTATCCAGTCTACTAACAAGCCCATCAAAGGCGTTCTTCATTTCTGTTACAGTGTTTTTTGATCTCTAGCATTTCTTTTTGGTTCTTTTTAGTATTACCATCTCTCTGCTTCCACTGCCCATCTGTTCTTACATGCTGTTTTATGCATTGGAGTCCTTAGCATATTAATTGGAGTTGTTTTAAATTCCTGGGCTGATAATTCCAACATTCCTGCTATGTCTGGTTCTGATGGCTGCTTTGTCTCTTCAAACTATGTTTTCTGCCTTCTGGTACGCCTCGTTGATTTCTTCTTGCTAGTTGGACATGATGTACTGGGTAAAAGGAAATGCTACAAGTGGGCCTTTAGTAATGTGGTTAGGAGTTGGGGGAGGGGAAGCATTCTATAGTCCTGTGATTAGGTCTGTCTTTCAATGAGCCTATGTCTCTGGACTGTGAACTTCACAAACGCTTCTCAGTTTTTTCTCCTCCCTTAGGTGCACAGGATGGCTGGAGTTGGTTATTTCCCATCCCCAGGTCAGTTAGGCTCTGATAACACCCCAGCAGTGAGGCTCTGGCTAACTCGTTGCCCTGAGGTCAGGCCTTGCAAAGAAAAACAAAGTACTCTGGCTTATTTCACAACGGTTCTGGTTCCTCTTCCCCGGCTGGAAACCCGAGGGGATCCTTCTCCAGTATTCACTGTGGGAATCTGGTCAAGCTCCTGGAGAGAAATACCACCATGTAGTGTGGGGACCCCCTTATGACTGGACCCCCTGGAGGTTTTAACCCTCAGACTTGTCCACATGGAGCCTGCAGCAATTTGTCAGCTGCAGTTCCTGTTTTCCTACCTCGACACTGGTTCCCACGAGGTTTCCGCTCCTGAGTCTCTGCTGCGGCAGCCGGGACTCCTTGTATTCGCTCGTCTCTCCAACCCTGGAGGCAGCGGTTTGCTCTGCTTCCTCCACTCTCTTACAGATCCAAGAAGAGCTGCTGATTTTTCGGGCTGCTCAGCTTTTACTTGTTGTTGAGACGGAGTGGGGACTCCCAGCCTCCTTACACGTGGAACCAGACGCTCTGCAGTTTTTAATCTCAACAAACAAATGAAAGGTGTATACACGCGGAGTTTAAAAGTCAAATAATCCTGCAAGACAGGCTCAAAAAAGTCACAGGGGGCTTCCCTGGTGGCACAGTGGTTGGGAGTCCGCCTGCCGATGCAGGGGACACGGGTTCGTGCCCCGGTCCGGGGGGTTCCCACATGCTGCGGAGCGGCTGGGCCCGTGAGCCATGGCCGCTGAGCCTGCGCATCCAGAGCCAGTGCTCTGCAGCGGGAGGGGCCACAGCAGTGAGAGGCTCGCGTATTGAAAAAAAAAAAAAAAAAAGTCACAGACCTAGCCCCCATCATTCCACACCTGATTCCACTCCCCAGAGGCCACAATTTTCAGGTGGTGATAAGAGACGTGGGGGGGTGGGGTGGGGAAAGAAAGGCAACAGAGGGCTTAAGGAGTGCCCTCCTGGTGGAGAGGGCTTTGCAGCTTTAAATAGGACAGGAAAAGGTGGCATATGAATAAAGGAGGGAGGGAATGATTTTTGTGGATACTCAGAGGCGAAGCCATCTGGGTAGAGGAACGACAAATGGAAAATCCTGCGGACAGCAGTGTGCACAGAGCTGTGTAGAGGAATACCCTGGGGGTCTTGTTAAAATGCAGATTTTGATTCAGTAGGTCTGGATGGGCCCTGAGACACCGCATTTCTGATGAGCTCCCAGATGATACTGATGCTGCTGGTCCAGGGACCTCACTTTTCACAAGCAAGGTCCTAGAAAGAGTTAGATCATTGGTGGGGTTGGAGCAAAATGAGAGCGTGGGCAAGTAAACTGAACGGATGTCAGAGAGATAATAGGGGACCAGATCTCGCCGTGCCTTAGAGCACACTGTGAGGACTTGCGCTGTCATTGTGAAGTAGATGGGGGCCGGGAAGTGATGTGATCTGGCGTATGTTTTAAAGGCATCTCTGCAGGAGCTGTGTTAAGAACAAATTGTAGGAGGGCAAAGGTGGTTAGGAAGCCGCCGAATGAACCCAGGTGAGAGGATTTCTGATGGATTGGTTGGAGGAGTCACCTGAGCACTTGGAGGGATGGAGTTGCCATTTCTGCCCCATCTCTCACACCCATCTTCTCTCTCCAATTCCACTGCCACTTCTCCAGTCACGCCCCATTAATTCTCATTACTGTAATTGCCTTCAAACATCTTCTTCTTGAGAAATGGCTTTGTTCAGTCCAGGCCTTTGTAAAGACCTTACGGTTGCTTACAGAGTCCATAGTCTAGCATGGAAGACCCTTCATAAACTGGCCCTTTCCCCCACTTCTGGGTCATTACTCACCTTCATGAACCCATCACTCTCGCCCGGGGCTTCACGTCCTCGCCATCGTCATGTACATACTATGGAGGATGAAAAGCTGTGGGATATTTGCAAATCCTGGCATGGTGACCCTTAAACCACCACACTGTCTCCCACTCACTTTAATCTATTTTTGTTACATATACCTGAAGAAAGCAAACCGTTGGCAAACCTCCTTTATGGTTGTATCACGGTGCTTACATCAGTGCTACGCGATGTGGAGTCCATGGACCAGCAGCATCACCTGGGAGCTTGAAGCCAATGCAAGTTCACAGGCCTCACCCCAGACCGCTAAATCAGAATCTGACAGTAGGGCCCAGGAATCTGTGTTGTAACGAGCTCCCCAGGGGATTCTTACACATGCTAAACTTGGAGACGTAGTGGATAACATCACACCGCAAATCGAACATCACTAGGTTCTTACATCATATTTTGAGAACAGCTGATCCAGACTGGTGGGCTCAACCCCAGCTGCACATTGGGATCACCTAGAGAGCTTCCAATAAAATAGCGGTGCCTGGGCCCCTACCCCCGGCAATTGGAATCGACTGGAGTGGATCCAAGTGACCCTAATATGCCCCCAGGTCTGAGAACCTTACGAGTCCGGCAGATGGATCTCCATTCTGTTTCCCATACACAACCCAAATTTCTGCCTGTCGCTGGTCGCTCTACCTGGAGTGTGTGTCTGTGCCATCTCCATACTGTCTGACATATCCGTTCTAGGAAGAGAATGAGCCCCAGTACAGCTTCTCTTCAAACTGGTCTTGGGTCCTCTTCTATTTCCTGAAGCCACATGGGTGGCTTCTATGGCACTGCAGGCAAATGAGATCCCTACATTGTTCTCTTTGTTAAAATGAGGCCTCATTCAATGAAAAGGTGTTTCTCAAACTGTGTTCTTTGGAGTAGTAGTGTTCTGTCATATACTAATACTTATTTGTGGGGCTGTTCTTTGGCCAAAAAAATGAAAATTGAAACTATTACACACCACGTGATTTCTGCACGTCACTCTCCACGTGTTTCTCCCATCCCCAGACCACAGCTTCTCAACCTTTTTAAAATATTACATCTTCTTTCACAGAGCTGAAATTCACATAACATGAAAGTAACCATTTTCAAGTGAACCATTCAGTGGCGTTGAGTACATTGGCAGTGTTGTGTAAACACCACCTCTTTCAAGTTCCAAAATATTTTCCTCACCTCGAAAGGAAAGCCTACCCCCCTCTGCAGTCCCCCCAGAATTTCCATCCAACCCCCCAGCCATTAGACATGTTACTACTTCTTACTTTGAATCAATTTGCTCTTAAGAAAATTGGGGATCCTGCTTTATCAGGCTGTTAGGAGAAACAACCCAGGTAATGTGTATAAATCGCCCAGCACTACACACATCAGGTACCTAGTAAAGGTCGGATCCTTCCTTCACTTTGCCTTCGGTCTCGTCATTCTGGTGTCCTAGATGTCAGAGTCTACAGCATTTAGAAGAAAAAAGGCTTTGTAAATTCCTCTCTTTAGAAAAATAAAAATGTATTTCCCCTCTTTGAAAGGTGGAAGAAGAGTAACTGCTATAAAGACCATCAGCAAAAACCTGTATTAAATTTGTTTTTATTTTAAGCCCCTTTTTATTTTGGAATTATTTTAGATTTACAGAAAAATTATAAAGATAATACGGTTCCTGTGAACCTTCACCCAGTTTCCCCCATTGTTAACCTTTTACCTGACTATGGGACATTCGTCAAAGGTAAGAAATTAACACTGGCACATGGCTATTCAGTACAACTACATACTTTATCTGAATTTCACCAGTTTCTCCTCTAATACCCTTCTCTGCTCCAAGATCCAACCAGACTCCCACGCTGCATTTCTTCATCATGTCTCTTTAGTCTCCTCTGACAGTTTCTGTCTTTGCTTTTCATGACCTGGAGGGTTTTTAAGAGTACTGGGAAGGTATTTTGTAGAATGTCCCTCACTTTGGTTTTATCTGATATTTTCTCATGATGAGACTGCAGTTATAGGTTTTGAGGCTACCACGGGGGTGAAGTGTCCTTCTCATCACGTCAGATCACACCAGGTGGTAGGACAAGGTCCCTGTAGAACTTACCACTGGTGATGTTGACCTCGAACACTTGGATAATGTGGTGTCGGCAAAGTTTCTCCACTGAAGGTTGTTATTTTCCCTTTTCTGTACTCTGTACTTTGGAATTAAGTTACTAGTTTAGCCCCTACTCAGTGGGGAGGGAGAGTAAGGTCAGCCTCCCTCGACGGGGCAGTATCTACAGCCATTATTTAGAATTCTGGAAGATTTGTCTCTTCTTGCCATTTTTTATTAAATCACTTGTCAGTATGGACTTCTGTGTATTTCTTTTATAATTTGGGTTATAATCCAATTCTATGTTATATATTTTTTTGCTTGAATCGCTCCAGTTTGGCCAGTGGGAGATCTTTCAGACTGGCTCCCATGTCCCTTTGACATGGTGCAATCCTTTTTTTTCCCCAGTATCTTAGCTTTTGATGTAAACTTTGGTTTTCCTCCCCACCAATCCATTGAAATTGCTTTAAGGTCTTTTATGTTACAATGGTTTCTAGATTGTCAGGCCAAAGTCTACTTGTCTGTTCTTAGTTTGCAGACCTTTCTGTGACAATACTATTAATCTCTTTCTTTCAAATTCCATTTCATTTTCTAAAAATGTACTATGGAATTTTCAAACATAAACAAAGCTAGAGAAAAGAGCATAATGAATCTCCGTGTATCTATGACCCAGTTTCAACAATTCTCAGCATTTTGCCCACCTTGTTTCAACTCTTGTTTCACCTCTCCCACGCTCTGCCACTGGAATACAAACCTTAAAGGAAACCCCAGACATCATATGAGTTCAACTGTAAAAAACATCATATGAGTTCAACTGTAAAGAGTTGTCTTCAACAGCTCAGAACTTTAAAAAAATATATAACCACAAAACAATGTTACACCTAACAAAATTCATAATTCTTTAATATCCTCTAATACTCAGTCCATATTCAAATTTCCTCCCAAATTTTAATAATTTGTTCAAGTTAGGATCCATACAAAGTCCATATATTACATCTTTTATTTTTATTAATTTTTTAAACATCTTTATTGGAGTATAATTGCTTCACAATGTTGTGTTAGTTTCTGCTGTACAACAAAGTGAATCAGCCATACGCATATATATATCTCCATATCCCCTCCCTCTTGCATCTCCCTCCCTCCCACCCTCCCTATCCCATCCCTCTAGGTGGTCACAAAGCACTGAGCTGATCTCCCTGTGCTATGCAGCTGCTTCCCACTAGCTATTTTACATTTGGTAGAGTATATATGTCAATGCCACTCTGTCACTTTGTCCCAGCTTACCCTTCCCCCTCTGTGTCCTCAAGTCCATTCTTTATGTCTGCGTCCTTATTCCCATACTGCCCTTCGGTTCTTCAGAACCATTTTGGTTTTTTTAGATTCCATATATATGTGTTAGCATACGGTATTTTTCTCTTTCTGACTTACTTCACTCTGTATGACAGACTCTAGGTCCATCCACCTCACTACAAATAGCTCAATTTCGTTTTTTATGGCTGAGTAATATTCCATTGTATATATGTGCCACATCTTCTTTATCCATTCATCTGTCGATGGACACTTAGGTTGTTTCCACCTCCGGGCTATTGTAAATAGAGCTGCAATGAACATTGTGGTACATGACTTTTTTGAATTATGGTTTTCTCAGGGTATATGCTCAGTAGTGGGATTGCTGGGTCGTATGGTAGTTCTATTTTTAGTTTTTTAAGGAACCCCATACTGTTCTCCATAGTGGCTGTATCAATTTACATTCCCACCAACAGTGCAGGAGGGTTCCCTTTTCTCCACACCCTCTCCAGCATTTACTGTTTGTAGATTTTTTGATGATGCCCATTCTGACCGGTGTGAGGTGATACCTCATTGTAGTTTTGATTTGCATTTCTCTAATGATTAGTGATGCTGAGCATCCTTTCATGCCACACATTACATCTCATTGACAGTCCCTCCCTCTGCCATGACCCCTTCTCCAACACACATTTTTTAAAACTCCATTTGTGGGCTTCCCTGGTGGCGCAGTGGTTGAGAGTCCGCCTGCCAATGCAGGGGACACGGGTTTGTGCCCCAGTCCCGGAAGATCCCACATGCCGCAGAGCGGCTGGGCCCGTGAGCCATGGCCGCTGAGCCTGCGCGTCCGGAGCCTGTGCTCCGCAACGGGAGAGGCCACAACAGTGAGAGGCCCACATACCGCAAAAAAAAAAAAAAAAAAAGTCCATTTGTTGAAGAAATTGGGTTTTCCATCATATCAAATTTCCCAATTCTGGATTTGGCTTATTGTGTCTTCACGGTGCCTTGTAACACATTAGTCTAGTCCTTGAACTTCCTATAAATTGGTAATTCGATGTAAAGTCTTAATTAGATTGTTTTCATATTTACAAAAATATTTGTAATATATTTGATAAATCAATTTATCTATCTATATCTATATCTCTATATCTCTCTCTCTCTCTATATATATATATATTTGCAAAAATACTTCATTGGTGGGTAAATCAACTTCCTAACGCATCACAGCAGAAGCCATACTGGCCACCTGTCCCACTTATAATTTTCCCTTTCGAAACGCCTCTGGCTCCTGGTTCTCCTCTCCTTTGTCTTTGCCATTTCTTCTCAGTTCCTTTTACAGACTCCTCTTTACCTGCATGTTAAAGTCATTGTCTTCGGGGCCCCACTGTCACTGGTCCATTCCTCCTAGTTTGTATATGGTCCCCTTTTCCATATTTGTAAGGCTGAGGACTCAGAAGTCTATATATATTTTATTTTATTTTATTTTATTTTATTTTTGGCTGCATTGGGTCTTCGTTGCTGCGTGTGGGCTTTCTCTAGTTTTGGTGAGCGGGGGCTACTCTTCATTGCGGTGAGCGGGCCTCTCATTGCGGTGGCTTCTTATTGTGGAGCACGGGCTCTAGGCGCACGGGCTCAGTAGTTGTGGCACACGGTCTTAGTTGCTCCGCGGCATGTGGGATCTTCCCGGACTGGGGATCGAACACATGTCCCCTGTATTGGCAGGCGGATTCTTAACCACTGTGCCACCAGGGAAGTCCCAGAAGTCTGTGTCTTTGATGTGGACCCTCTCCACTGAGTTCCAAGCCCGAATATCCAGTGACCGACGGGATGTCACTGGGTATCCTGTGAGCTATTCAAACTCACTGTGTCCCCAGATGGAGTTAATTATCCTTCTTCCTAAACCTGTTTCTCAGTGTTTTCTTTAGCTCAACGATGAGAACCACTATCCAAGACAGAAACCTGAGCCATCCTAGACTTTTCCTCACCTGCTCCAAATTGCCAAGCCCCAGAACATCCATTTCTTCAATAGCTCGACTGTGTCCCCTCTTCTTGCTGCTATAGGCTCATTTCTAAAATTCAGAACAAAGAACATTATCCAGAGTCACACATTCTCCAGCAGGACTAGAGCCTAACCCCGTGCTCCAGCATGGAACACACTGGGATCTTGCTGAGGGCCATAATCAGCTCCAGATTCTCCACCGTGCTCTGGATACACTGTGCTTTACACATATTGTGAATATGGTTGTAGAGGCCAAGTTCAGCAGGGTGGAGCAGCTAAAAGTGGGGAGTTCAGGAGTCAGAACACCTGGGTTTGACCCTCACTTCCACCACTGAGAGCAAACTTAAGTTGGTCAATTTCTCTGTACTTCAGTTTCCTCATCTGTGAAATGGAAATAATATTCCTTCACCACTTTCCTGAAGTCCCCAAATCTCTGGAAACTGGAAGTTGTGTTACATTTTGTTTTTAAATAATTTGTTTGCCAGCCAAACCTGACTAGACTATAAGGATTTGATGACAAAACCTGACGCGAACGGAATTGGGGATATTTATGGTCTTTACTTATCCCACTTAGAATATTCGTCCATTTTACTGCAACTGGCTTTGATGGCAGGCTGCTGCCCCAGCCCACTGGGACAAGTTCCACGATACGCTGTTCTACTCTTCAAAAGTACAATGTCTGAATTCTGAAACATACCTGACCTAAGAGTTTTGGAAAACAGGTTGTATACCTATAATAGCTACTTCATAGGTGTGTCATAGGTTGATTGCTAAAGAAATTCATATTTGTAAAGCAATTCGAAAAGTATGTGGCCCATAGTAAACCTTGTATCAGTGTTTGATAAATAAACATTTCATGTTACAGTTAACCCTAAAACTGAAGTGAAAGAGAAACTATTTTGTGTCAGAAGTTTGACGAATTTGGGAGCCTCCATCAAAGCTGGGTTGCTGATCCCACGTGCAGCGGAGCGGCTGGGCCCGTGAGCCATGGCCGCTGGGCCTGCGCGTCCGGAGCCTGTGCTCCGCAACGGGAGAGGCCGCAGCAGCGAGAGGCCTGCGTACTGCAAAAAAAAAAAAACCAAAAAAGCTGCGTTGCTGCTATAGCTTTTCTGTTATAAAGAAATTACATCAGGGAGACAGAAAAACCCCTTTGGATTGGCACTCCAATCCTCTCCCTGCTCAGAACTAACCTCTATTCTGAAGCTGGTGTGTGTGAATCTTTTTGAAGAGAGTTTCTCAATTTGAGTACATATGTATGCATCCATGGTATGTACTATTTTAGAACAAAGGATGATCCAGCCCCGAATGTCACCGATGCTGAGGCCGACAGAGCCTGCCCTCACCTCCTTCTCCACTGTGCACATACTGCAACTACAACCATCGCACACCTGTCTGCCCCTCCCAGGCTGCCACTTCCCAGAGCGAAGAGGCCATGGTCCAGCTAACTGGGATGGAAAAGACTAAACACCTGCTGTGTAAATGAATGAACAAGTCATGGGTCCCTCCTATCACAAATGATCACAAATGAGACATCAGGGAAGAAGGACAGGTGGGACTCAGGTGTCAAGAGCCAGTCCATCCATTCCAATTGCTGACAGGGAGACATGTCTCCATATCTGGAAGAAGTTCCATAGCTGGCACTCTTTGGCAATTTTTAAAGACAGGGAATAGGGCTTCCCTGGTGGCACAGTGGATAAGATTCCGTGCTCCCAATGCAGGGCGCCTGGGTTCGATCCCTGGTCAGGGAACTAGATCCTGCATGCGTGCTGCAACTAAGAGTTCGCAGGCCACAACTAAGGAGCCAGCGTGCCGCAATTATGGAGCCCACACGCCACAACTCAGGAGCTGGCAAGCTGCAACTAAGGAGCCCTCGAACCACAACTAAGGAGCCCACGAGCCACAACTAAGACCCAGAGCAACCAAAACAAAAATTAAAGACAGGGAATAAATAAGTGTCAACACTGACTGAGTATATACTGTGTGGCCAGCACTATGCATTTTCCAGGCACTAATTCCAGGTGGTCCGCACAAGGACCGCATGTGGGGGAATCATGAATGCCCATCTCAAGAGTGAGGAACACCAAGCACTGGGAGGTGGAAGTAACTAGCCAGCAGGGGTGGGACCAGCCTGGTGGTTTCTCTGGGGGAAGGTAGGAGAGTCCTTTGTACAGAGAAACACTTCACTCTCAAATAGCTAAGAACCTGCTGCAATTGTAGACTTCGGTTTGTATATGTGCCTCAGTCATGTTAATTTTCTATTTCGGTGTACGGGTTTCAAATAAAAAAAGAGAACTGGTAAAGGTTTGAAATTTTGGTCACGTGTCACCTCAGGGGAAGTTAATTCTGATTTTTGTCTGCAATACCCAAGCACAAACTGCAACTCCAGTAATAAAACGGGAACTTGGAAAAATAAGCACCCAGGGCTGATGAAAGTAACGCATTTGTCTCAGGGCAGGGGCTGGAACGTGCAGCTAAGTGTTCCGAGGGAGAAGCATGTTAATACTACATCTTTTCAACAACCTTTGATGGACGTGGTAAGATTCTCAGGTCAGCGCGGCTCACCCTGGCAACGCACTGTAATAACTTATTTAAAAGGCAGCTGGCTTTTACAAATGGACTGTCTCGTCCATTTTTAGGTTTTCGTTCTCAGAAATGTATTCTTCTATCAAAACAATAGTCACTCCTTGTAGTAAGAGCTCAATTATACCTTTCCTACAACAGAGGAGACTGCAGAGGTGAGCAGGTTTGGGAACTGCCGTCCTTGGCTCTCAATTCTGGATGACATTCAAGCTCTGTAGAGACAAGCAGATAACCAGAAGGACATCACACAGGGATTCTCACTCCTTTAGAGCAGGAGTTGGCAAGCTACCACCCACAGGCCAAACCTGGCCTGTGGCCTGCTTTTATAAATAAAGTTTTATTGGCATGCAGCCATGCCCAGTTGTTTACTTACCATCTCTGGCTGCTTTCCTGCTGCAAGGGCAGAACGCAGGAGTCAGGACACAGCCCACCTGGCCTGAAAGCCAAAACTAGGAACTCTTAGGCCCTTGATAGAACACGCACGTGGAGCTCTGTGCTGGAGAAGCGGAGTCCGACGGGCTTGCATCCTTTTCCGCGGGGCTAAAGGAATTGGAGCGGGAGAGGACACCTGACTCACTGAAGGCCTTTGCCTAGTTCGGCTGGGTTAAAGATACAAGAAAACAGAAACGCAACAACTAGGCAGTATCTCCAAGCGAGAACTTTAATGAACTGGTCGCTCTTACTGACATTAAAAACCAGTGGGATGTATATGAAATTCCCACTTTACCTCAAGAGAAGATCTCTCGTGTTGGCGGCAGGACACGTCCTGCCCACCTCCAGGTGGCTGACATTACCCCCGCCCCCAGGGGACTTTGGTGAACGTGCTCATTAGTCAGCCTTACCCAGAGAAGAGCCACGGGAGAGGGGGAGGGGGGACAGCGAGAGGAAGGGGTGCGGCTCAGAACTTGAGCGGGATGACTGGCCAGTACTTCGGCTGCTTGCGGTCGCAGTGCTTGTCGAAGCTGAGCTGCACGGCCGCCTCCATGGCCTGGATCTTGGCGGCGCTGGCCCCGTACAGGTGCCGCATCTCGGCCCGGCGCCGCTCGCCGGGCCGCTCAGCTGGGGGCAGCACGGAGCGGCGGCGCGTGTCGCGGTACAGGTCGTGGTCCGCGTTCACGTAGTCGTTCAGGCGCGCCGCGTCCAGCTGCTGCTGCCGCCCTGGGAAGCAAGCGACACGGGCGCCGGCGACGCCGTGAGCCGGGTGATCTCGGCTGGCCCCCGGCCCCCTCCGCCCTCCTCCTCTCACTGCCCCACGCCCGCCCAGCTCGGAGGTTCTCGGGCCCAGCTCGGAGGTTCTCGGACTCTAAGGCGTGACCTGCGCCGGATTATCGTTATCTCCTTAGTTAGGAGGCGCATCGCTCGCTCACTCACTTATCAGAGGGCTACACGCAAATAGAAGTGGCAACAAGCCACCAGGAAACGTGTCAGTCCAAGTTATCCAACCTCTGCAACGGGCCCTGAAAACAGAGGAGAGAAATGCAACCATGTGGGTCTCCGTCTACACCGCTGCCCACAAGCTGCCCGGCGGGGCATGGCTGGTGGCGGTCCCATGGTTTCAAACACTGCACCGGGCCGGCAGGGAAAGGAAATGCTTCCCGGAAAGTCCAGTGTTGCAAGAAGTAGTACTTCCCACCACAAATGAGATGGTGGGGAAAAAAGTCACCTCTTTGGAAGCGGTATGGGTTTGAGGTCATCTGGAAGAGGGCAAGGCTAGCAGGTACAGAACTCCACCACGATCACGATCTCTGCGTGCGTCGCAAACGCAAATCACACTACACAAGGAAAGGTTAACCGATTCAACCCTTGTCAAAGGTAAAAGGGCCAAGAAAGGATAATTCTGCAGATGGCAAGGAGGCCTTGGCCACCTCATCTTGCTGCTGTGTTGCCCGCAGCAGCCGGCCCCCTTCCTCACCGAGGAATGGGACCTGCCCCTTCACCTCCCAGGTCAGCTTAGGCTAAACTTCAGGTGGCACGGTTATATGCTCTAATCCTACGAATTTAAATGGATTCTTGTAAAGCAAGACAGATTTACTCAGGTTATTCTCCCCTGTCGATTTTTACTGTAACAAGTCCTAGGATCATAACTTGTATTCTTATGTAAATAGAAACAACATAAAAATGTCAACAAAACATAAGGTCAAATTTAGCCAACTTACAGATTTTTGTGACTGTCAAGAACAGAGAAACTGGTAGCAGAATGCACACATCTGTAGCCACTGCTAGCAAGAGAAATACTAAGGAGTGAAGATGGTTGTAGGGGAATAAAACAATGATATAAATCATTCTTTCCTTCGTTAAAAAAAAAAGTAGCAGAATGAAAGCTGAGTATGGAAGTGAACACAACAGTGAGCAAGTCAAGTGACTGGCGAGATATTTACATGGCTATGCTATTTATGTGGCTAGGCATAGACACTCCCAAATCCCGTTCTTTAAAAATCGTACCTTGGAGCTGGAGGGAAGGAGTTTTATACTCTTGGAAACATTATTAAAAATGCACACGACCATTTGTCTCTTAGCACACCTGCAGTTTATTTTTAATTTTTTTAATTGTTTTTCCCCCTGGAGTCAGTGCCACCATCTTCCCCCTACACTCGGTGATGCTGCTCCCCCGCTAACAGAGAAAAGAACGCCGGACATGAAGATAAAGGGTTCCAGCTCTACATCACGCTTTACTGCTTACAATGTTAGAAAAGGCATTTTGCCTCACTAGATTTGGAGTTTCTCATCTGTAAAATTAGGAGGTTGGGACTGACCTCCACCGTCGCTTCTGCAGTTTGTTTTTATACAAGGAAGTACTATGGGAATAAGCCAAATGACTGTCAAGCAAAAGACATGCAATATAACTGTTACCTTATCCATGAAAAAGACAGAATTGACCTACTGTGAAAGGTGGAAGTAAACCAAAATATTGGCTTGATATGCAAATGAATGGGAGGTCAACAAGCATTTGTTTCTCATTTTTGGTCTTTCTGGTAAATCTGAAACTTCAGGATTTAAGATGTTCAATTCTCATGGGTGTCTGAATTCTACCCCCTCCTCCCCTGGGGACTACTCTTCCAAAGGCTTGGCATCTCCACCCGAGCCAGGGACAGAAGAGCCCCTTCTGCCACCTGTGATACGTTACCAATCCTCGGCCCCGAGGAGGCGATCCCACGTGATCCCTCAGAGCCTCTGCATGTAGACGACAGAGGCTCCCAGACCACGGGCCTTTCACTCTCGAATTTGTCCCAAGACTATCATCATTCTCACTGACAGATTTAGTGACACAGCAGATGTTCAACTTCCTGTCGAAATCAGTGTCTCAGTTTAAGTTTTAATAAACACTGGAATTTTTGCTATCTTAGTAAGTGTTGCTCTCTGCCGTTAGGATATGTGAATTTAACCTTTTTACTTTTGCATCTTTATTTTCCTTTTCCTTATAACTTAACATGGTTATAACGATGCTTCTTTCTGCTGCCCTTCTGACAAAAACTATCTTGCAGACGTTAAATCAGTCTAACAATTTATACGCCAAGAGCCGTTTCCTCTTATTGACAGCTGTGGATGAAACGCTACGTGACACCAAAGCAACCCCAGCTGGCCGGCCGTCAGTGAAGCCTGTGCTGTTTTCCAAGTCTGCACTCAGCATGTGCTCATCACAGCAACCATCACGGGGTTTTATTCCTTAATAGACTTTATACCGTGTAAGAATAAAAGACACGGCCCTCTGCTCTCAGTTCTCTATTTTTATCTCCTTCCCATCCGGGTTTCCTCATGAAAATTTAAGGCCCAAACCCTGGTCCCCTCCCAGTCTCACAAGAAGTGTGGAGGTTTCCTGCACGGCCGGTAGTTGCCCTCAAACATAGATCGGAGGGACGGGAAGTGGGTCCCCTGGCACCAGCGGCCCACCTGCGGGAGTCCACTACGGGGGAGGGCACTGTGGCCTTTACTCACCCTGTCTCCCCAGCCCTGGGGGAGGCCGCAATGCCCGACTGAAAGCAGGTGCTCAGAGGTTGTCAAGAGAGAGCTCAGACAAAGGCCAGACATTATTATTATTATTATTATTTTTGCAGTACGCGGGCCTCTCACTGTCGTGGCCGCTTCCGTTGCGGAGCACAGGCTCCGGACGCGCAGGCTCAGCGGCCATGGCTCACGGGCCCAGCCGCTCCGCGGCATGTGGGATCCTCCCGGACCGGTGCACGAACCCGTGTCCCCTGCATCGGCAGGCGGACTCTCACCAACTGCACCACCAGGGAAGCCCAGACATTATTTTTTGTAAACAGCTGTTCCTTCCAGATGCTACTGGAAAACAATGACAACCCAGGGATAGAGAAAGAGATGCTCGACTCTCAAAAGGCGCTGCGTAGAGCCCCCTCCCGCAGGTCCTTGAGTCTCCATGGAGGAGAGGTTGGGGGAGGGGGAAGGAAGGGGCACCGCTGAGTTGGGGGTCTGATTTTGTTCCCTTACATTCGAGTTGCTTTGCCTCTACTTACTCACACAAAAAAAAGTTCTAACATTAGACTATAAATGTGAAAACCAGTCAGCTTAAAACTAAATACCCTCAGACTAGCTGGGCGCTGGAGGCTACAGGTAGCACGTGAAAGTACTTTAGTGTATACTGACCTAGAGGACCAAGCAAGCCTGAGGATGCAATACTCACTTGAAGGCATCCACTTATTCTAGGCTCCATTTATTGCTTCCTCCCTCCTAATGAAAGAAAGGATTCTCAATCACTGGTGGTTTTTCTTCCTGTCAAAACAAGGTGAGGACTCAGCCAGCCAGATGGAGAGTCATCTGACTGAAGCAGAGAAGTCGAACAACACACTTCACAAATAACTGAACAGGGGCCTTGTCATGCAGAGGTCAGTCATTTTTCCCAAAAACATCTGTGGGACTCAATGTTACCAAGCACTTTTTTCTTGTAGGATACTTGACCAAGGCAATTTGTGTTAATACAAATCAGAGTATCTTTTTCAATTTCAGCTTTAAAACAGGGTTGTAGTGGGGTGAATAGCCTCCCCGCAAATTTCCATCAACCCAGAACCTCAGAATGTGATCGTATTTGGAAATAGGGTCTTTGGGGATGTAATTAAGCATTGAGATGAGATGATTCTACATTAGGGTGGGTCCTAAATCCAGTGAGAGTGTCCTTATGTGAGACAGAAAAGGACACATACAGACACAGGGGGAAACCATGTAAAGATGACGGCAGAGGCCAATGAAAGCCAGGAGCCGCCAGAAGCCGGAAGAGGCAGGCCCTAGAGCCCTTGGAAGGAAGCGTGGCCCTGCCAACAACTTGATTTTGGTCTTCCGGCCTGCAGAACTGTAAGAGAATAAATTTCTGTAGTTTTCAGCCACACGGTTTGTGGTAATTTGTTACAATAGTAACAATTAGGAAACTAATTCAGGGGTTACCATGCATACAGAGTTAAAACAGGAAAAACAGTATTATACTATTAAGGAGAAACTCTACTGGACTCCATCTGTGTTCAGGATATATAACCTTGATATTTTTTGTCTCAATCTATACATTTACATGGTGTTACCAACGTAAGCTTAAAGTCTATAAAGGAAAAAACAATCATGGGAAGTGACTTGCACTTCAGAGACCCTGACATAGCAGGAAAACATTCATTCAGTATTCCAAGATAATTAGCTCAAAGGCAGAACATTTTGGAGGACAAAGCACTAAGACAAATGAGTGTTAAAGAATGTGATTTCCCTCCATTTTTCTAGGATTAGCATGTCTGATTATATTCTCTGCTGTGTTGCCAGAATTAATGACCTCAGCACAACCGAGCGAAAGCACAGACTTGATTTATATCATGAATGCCTCATTTCTGGCTTGTCAGCAACACACCCAGAACACAGGTGCTTGCCAGCAGAGCTGGAGCCATTACTGACGGGTCTTCCATCCTCACCCCACATCCCTCACTCGACGACAGATGTAATCCCCAAGTCCGTGGGCAATCACCATGTTTACTTTTAGAATAAAAGTGCGTTTCCATCCCTCCCTTCCATTTTTCTATGGCCATTCACACGTATCTTCTCACGGACTGCTTTGATGCCCCGAACATCTGGACTAGATGAAACACACACATGGTGGAATTGTGCTCAATCAGTATGATTCCACACTTCAATCTCATTGACGAAACTAAGACGGCTCCCTGAACACTGGG